AAGGGAAGGGAAGGGAAGGGAAGGGAAGGGAGAAAGGAAAGAAAGGGGACAGGAAAAGAAGGAAGAGGAAGAGAGAGAGAGAGAAAGAGGGAGGAAGAGTTCATTCTTGTCTTTCTACCCACTGTAGATAAATCCTGCTGCCAAAAATGGTCTCACTGTTACTCTCTGACCCTCCTCTGGCAAACAGCAGCTATGTCTTAATTTGATTTTATTTACCTATTATTTTATTTATTAGTGGATCCCCACCCCACCTTTCTAGCTGCCAGCCACGAGCTGACCGTCAAGGCAGTTTATCGCTAGTAGAGAAAGATGCTAAAAGTACCAGTGTCGGTCCTCTCCCATCTCCCATCCTTTCTACAGCATTGGCACAGAGCAAAATGACCAAAAATAAAAGCGCTCTGCACATGCTCTGATCCTCAGCAGCTAAAAATAAGGCTTTTTCGGGGGAAGCGGGGTGGACTTTCCTCTCTCCAAAACAGCATTCTGCACATAGGGGGATTTCCTGTGGCTGGCTGATTTTTTCCCAGCTCGGAATCTAAGCAGGTCAGGGTTCGGATGGGGCACCAAGAGGAAATCTCAGGCTCGAAGCAGAACAGAAAAACATTTCAAAAGGAAGAAGAAAAAAAAAAGTCCCAGAAAACTGCCTCATTGTCTCCATGCCGGCTTAACTCAAGGATTTCTTTATCTAGTTGCAATAAAGGAAGCCAGAAATGAATAAAAGATGCAGAACCACCCTATATGCAATGCATTTCCGCAACGCTGGGCAAATACACGCACCCCCATCAGTTGCAGCGGCTGGCAGGTTGCTCTGTAAAAGCCGCCTCTGTGCATGTGCAAAGTGCTTTCCTGCCGTCAGGGACTAGCAGACCACAAACCCCCGAGCATTTGATATTCAATCACTCCCGGGGAGGAGGAAAACGGGATTTGAACCCTAACGTGAGCAACAGCGACCCCAAATTTATCTTCTGCGCTCCAACCGTCTTAGCTTTTCGGCCACCGCTTTCTAGAAACACCCCCCCGACTTAGCTTTTAAGCTTTTAAAGTTCTGCCTTCTCTTCCTTTGCCCCCAAATGCCGCCCCAGAACCGCCAGGCTGGCATCCGAATGATTCATCCTTTCCTCTCTTCTGCTATGATATTTCTTCCCCCTTTTCTAGTGGCTCCCGGCTGGGGCGGCCCAGAAAAAGGTGAACGGTCGAGGAGGAGGAGGAAGTGAAAACTAGCTTAGGGGCTATAAAAGGATGCGCTTCCACCCCCCCCCCAAAAAATAAGATACA